TGCAGAACTTACATATAGACCAAGAGACAGTCATTTGCACAGAGCACTGGGACATTACACTTAGTTCATTTGAGTCAGTGTGCTCTCAGTTACCCAATAGGACATGGGAGCACTGCTTCATGGGGTTTCCAAGGCTGTAAATCTTTACTGAAGCAGACTGCCTCGTCTTTCTCTTGCAGCGTAGCATGTCTGGTGGGTTTGAGCTAACACTCTTAGTTAGTACCCCATGCTTAACCCACTGTGCCACTAGTGCTCCTCATCGGGGTATTGTATGGCTTAAAATAAGGGCTGTATCCTTTCCCCACACTTAAGCAAATACCCTGAGAAGATGGACTCTCTGAAGAAGGCTTACACAGCATCAGGCTTGGAGGAAGATTTATTAACTACCCCGGAATGTGCAGAAGACAAAGCCTTGCTTGCTGAAAGCAAAGAAAGCTTGAAGCACCTATTTTTTTAAAATAATTTTTTATTGTAAATTAGGTGGGGGGTGAAGCACTATATTGATGAAGATCAAAGACAACAGTATTCAATATGGGCTACACTTTAACATAAACAAAAGTTCTCGCAAAATGGACCAATGAGTGAGATCATGATGATTAGCGTAGAAAAAAGATTGAACTTACCAAGGATTTCATTTTGCTTGACTTCCCAGTTAATGCCCACGGAAGCAGCAGTGAAATGATGTGTTGCACTGGGCATAGCAACAGACTTAAAAAATGTTAGAGCAAAGATGTTACTTTGATGTCTAAGATGCACTTGGTCCAAGCCCTGGTACTTTCCATCGTTTCATGTGCATGTGAGAGACAGACAATGAATAAAGATAACTGAAGAATCGAAGACTTCGAATTATGGTGTTGAAGAATTTTGAATGTGCTATGAGATGGATTGACACAGTGGCTGCAACAATGGGCTCAAGCATAGGACCAACTGTGAGGCTGGCACAGGACCAGGCTGGGTTTCGTTGTTGTGAACAGTCACGTGGATCAGAACGGACTCAGTGGCACCTAGCAATAATGGAAGAAGAAGACACAAGTCTGCCTTGGAAGAACTACAGCCAGAGTATTCTTCAGAAGATTGGAGACTCTGTCTCATGCGCTCTGTTCATTTCCCTAGGGCTACCAGTCCCTAGATGCCTGAGAGAGGGTCAGTAAGTCCGATGGATATAACGGCTGCTCAGATACAGCAGTGATTGTACGGATTCCACAAGCCTGGGCAGTGTTTCCCTGTGTTGAACACGCGACCTCTATATATGTGTTGGAACCAACTTGATGACCCCTAAGAGAAGGTGAAAACAAAAAAAATTACCTTTTATTGGTGATTTAGAAAGCACATTATGTATGGTGGCTGTTATTAAATAAATTTCTTTTCT